AATATTTTTAACGTTAAAACCGTAAGTTTAAAGTTTTGTTTTTATTTTTTTCCTTTTTCCTTTTTTATTTAAAGATACTTTAGGTATTTTATACTTAAAATTAAAAATGTGAAAAAATATAAATTTGAGTATTAAATATAAATTAAAGGTGTACATCATAATATAGTTTTTGAATAAACCCAAAATATTTAATATAAAAATGTAAATATCCTAAAAGCTTTAGAGCACCGTATAACTTGCTAGCTGCATATCTTGGTATTAATTTTAGCAAAAGTAATTATTTCGAGGGAAAACATATTAATTAATATACATATTATTGTCCGATATTTTTTGTTTACTTTGATGAGAGGCCGTGAGGAGTTCAAATATACCGGCCTCAAAGTTGGAGGTCAAGTATATAATTACAATGTGCACAATCTCGATTTTTTTATTTTTTATTTTTTTTTACAACAAGGCCTTTTCTCTCGGGAAAAGAGAAACTCACGTATACTTTTAAGGGTTGTCAGCTATATTTTCAAGACTTATATTATGGCCTCACATTTATTTATACAACTTGATATGATTTCGGCTGTCCTACTGACTTCATGATAAGGATAAGGTCAACGTCAGTATAGAACTTACAATGACAAACAAAGACACCTATTTAACAAGTAATTAATGTTATCCTTGCCACTCTCAACTAAAATAAAAAATAAAAAAATAAAAAAGAAGAAAAAACTATACCTATTTGAGAATATGACTAGTTAAAAGCAGACAAAATAGATACCAATCATTGTCTCATGACAATATATATTGGTCCAACCACGGCATCATGGTTTTTAAACTTACATTGCCGAATGATCGTAGCGTGTATATACGTGAAGCTACGCCAAACACTCCGCCAACAATTGTTGAATAACCCATATAACTACAGCCATTAGCCAATTGATCAAGCCAAGCGCAAGAGAATTTACATGGTCCACTTCTTTTTTTTTTTTCTTGTGGTTGGAAAACCAATAGAATTCTAAAGAAGTGAAATTGGAAAATTGGGATAAGATGCGAAGTAACCCTTTGTTTTAAGCGGAAAAAAGGGGAAAAAAACTTGGATATGATAGGTACCCAAACTATACATGTGCTATTTTGTCTAGGGATGCATGGTGACCACCTGAATAATAAAAAAAGAATTATTATATATAAACTAAAGTTTAGGAAAGAGAATTCTCGTTTAAAGTGTCTTAATAAAATGGACCAAAGCTCTGTCTTACAATTTAGTAAAAGAAGTGTACCAGTTGTGTTAAAAACAGCGTTAATAAGGAATCAAGAGGTATTTTCTGATATATTGCTAAAAAAAAAAAATCGACATAATACACGTAGTTGATTGGAATTGAGAAAATTTTGTCCCTCTTATTACAAGCATACGATTCACGGGAGCCAAAAACGTAGATTGAATCGATCGCTTGCGTATCCACCTTTCATTCTGAGGGAGACCAAAAACGACATTGGCTTAGTTTGGTAGAGATTTTAGGAGGCTAAAATTAATTTTTTACTCAGCCAAAGCTGTTTATTGTGTTTGGTAAATACTTTAAAAATTGCTTCTCAAAGAATCATAGAAGAATTTTAGGGGAGAATCAGAAGCAGCACACTTGCTGCTTCTGATTGTAGATTATGCGGCAATCTATACTTCCTCATTAATGAAATTTTTATTGTTCCCAAAATAACCTTGCTGAATCAAAAGAATTCCCTCAGCCTCATTTCTTTATGCTCCTTCGCGTCCTCTCCTCTCTCAAACTGAAGCCTCCTCTCATGCTCTCTCTCTCAGCCAAAGCTCTATCCCTCTGTTTCTCTTTTTTCTCTCTCTTTGTTCTCTCAGACTATGTTAAGCTCCAGACCACGGTAAGTAGAATTGAGATAGAATTCCAGAAGAAATTCTATAGTAGCTCGATTGTATTAATGGCAGAAAACTGATTATAGAAAGATAAGGGAATTTTCAAGAGATCCCGTGCTCTCCTAGGGTTCTTTCTCTCGCAAGATTGTACAAATGATTCGATACCCTCTTATTCTACTCTCTATCCTATTTATACTCCTAACTCCTATTCCTTACACCAAATTCCAGCATAACTAACTAACTAACCTTTGCTGACTCAGCATCTTCCTTATTCACTCCACAAGTGCTTTCCTTCACCTCAGCAACCTCTTGAGTTTCAGCTGCCCTCCTTGGCTCGTGAAGGCGTTTCCTCCGAGAGTATGTAAAACGCACGGGAGGCTTATCATTACCCCCGCCCCAAAGACGCACCTTGTCCTCAAGGTGAAAATGAGGAAACTGTGCATCAATGGCAGCATATGATTCCCACGTATCCTCGTGGGCCGGTAGATGAGCCCAACGAATCAAAACCTCAAGATTATTGCTACCCCCACGAAGTGCATGACGCACCCCCAACAAGTCAGCCGGCTCCACGCACAACTCCAAGTCATACATCAACTGAGGCGGTAGAGACGAAACAGCCTGCTCCTGCCCCAACACCTTACGCAATTGAGAAACATGGAACACCGGATGAATGGAGGATGACTCCGGCAAGGACAATCGATAGGCGACCGGACCCACACGATGTGTGATCTAGAAAAGTCCATAGAAATGAGGACTCAACTTTTCATTCCGACGACGAGCTAAAGGGACTTGTCGGTAAGGACGGAGCTTCAGGTACACCAAATCCCCCACGGCAAATTCCACATCTCGTCGTTTCCCATCCGCTACTGCCTTCATCTTCTGTTGAGCCCGAAGAAGGTGGAACTTAAGTAAGTCCAACATAGCATCATGATCCTGTAGCTGCCGCTCCACCGAATCCACCGGTGAGGTTCCCACACTGTACCGCAACAAGGGCGGAGGAAGTCGGCCATAAACTGCCTGAAAAGGAGTCATACGGGTAGCAGTGTGGAATGAAGTATTATACCAATATTCGGCCCAAGCTAACCATCTGCGCCATTGCCCCAGCTTGTCAGAAAACACACACCGCAAGTACGTCTCCACACACCTATTCACTACTTCAGTTTGCCCATCGGACTGTGGATGGTACGCAGTACTGCGCAACAGAGAAGTGCCCATCTATTTGTGTAGGTCAATCCAAAAACGGCTAAGAAAAATGCGGTCACAATCCGATACAATGGTCCGAGGAACTCCATGCAACCGCACAACTTCCTAAATAGACAACTTGGCCACCTTTTCTGCCGAAAAAGGATTCCTCAATGCAATGAAGTGACCATACTTGCTCAAGCGGTCCACCACCACCAATATTGTATCAAACCCCTCCGAACGCGGCAACCCCTCAATAAAATCCATTGACACATCCTCCCACACCTACTCTGGAATGGCCAAAGGCTGCAATAACCCACCGGGTGCCAACGTCGACGCCTTACAACGTTGACATATCTCACATTGTGCCACATATGTGGTGACATCCCATTTCATTCCAATCCAAAACCAATCGGCCGCAAGACGGCGATAAGTCTTCAAACCCCCTGAATGTCCTCTAATCACCCCGTTATGGTAGGAATGTAACAAACGCTGCACCACTGAAGATCCACAGGAAACCACCATTCGCCTTTTATTCCATAAACGGCCATGTTGAATCGAATACCCTGGGTATGCTGCCGGATTGTGGGGTAAATCTGACCAGATTTTTATGAGTCGATCATCTTGCAACACTTGCCGATGGATTTCATCGGTATTGATAAAAGTAGTTGCCGTCATAGTGGCCACAACCGGGCTGACCACTAGTTGTGATAATGCATCCGTGGCTCGATTCTCTACCCCCGGACGATATTGGATCTCGAAATCATACGCTAGCAACTTAGTCAACCATTTCTGGTGTTCCATGGAAACTAAACGCTGCTCGAGCAAATACTTGAGGCTTCGCTGATCTGTCCGAATCAAAAAATGATGCCCAAGTAGGTACGGCCGCCACTTTTGAACGGCTAGAACAATAGCCATCAACTCCCGTTCATAAACGGACTTGCTACGCGCTTGGGGGGCTTGTACCTGACTGAAATAAGCAATAGGGCGTTGTTCCTGCATCAACACAGCCCCCACTCCAAATCCAGACGCGTCGGACTCTAAAACAAATGGCTTAGTGAAATCCGGTAAGGCCAGCACCGGTACGTGCGTCATAGCATGCTTCAACTTTTCAAAAACCTGTAACGCCTCCGTACCCCAACGGAAACTGTCCTTTTGGAGCAAGTGGATCAAAGGCCCTGCAATTTGACTATATCCCATGATAACTCTATGAAAATAGAGTTAATTGAGCATTTCTCAGGCTTAAATTATTACCTAGAGGGTAATTAGTATTAGTTTTCTCCTATATTTTGTCGTGTTAATAGTTTTTAGTTATTTGTGATTCATAAATTTTCTCTCTCGTGATTACGGGCTCGGGCTACCGGCCGGGCTCGGGTAGCCAAATACAAGCCCGCGGCCCGTTCAAGAGCCTTTTCAGGCTCGGGCGGGCGGCCTGAATTTTTCGGGTGGGTTAGGTCGGACTCGGGCAAAAAATCAGTATTTTCAGGCGATCGCGGGCGGCCTCTCCAAAGTTCCAGCACTACGCTCTTTGTGACTTCAAATGTCATTCTTACATGGTCAAAGAATAGAATGCATTTTCTCTAAGTGACAACAAAATTTCAAAGAAAAAACAAAAGCAGTGCTTTTTTATTGGGTACATGTTTTTCCAACAAAAATAACACACTATTTCTGTCATTTCTGCCAATTTCTTTTATTTTAAAAATTAATTCACCATTTTTTTATTAGTTTGATGAACATATGCCAAATGGAACCTTTATGTAATTATTTTTTTCCCGAATAAAATGACAAGAAAGACTAACTAGCATTAAGGAGAATTAGGACATTTTAATTAGCTATAGGTTGACATTTCTAGGTCTTACATATTCGCACACTAAGTCCAACACTCAAATTTTTATTAAAAGAAAATAATAAGCAAAAGGTCTACTGCGTTATCTAATTATCTTGTACATTTTAAATGATAAAATTATTTAAGCGCAGATACATGCTTTCTGCAATCGTCATTGGCACAGCATATGCTCTCCTGCAACTTGCATTCACAATCTACAACGCCGTTAGTAACGGAGAAGGCAACCATCTCTTTGACTTCTATGGTGACAAGGTATACATTATATAGCTAATAATATAACTTTATATATATGAATTATTAAGCTAATAATAACCTTTATATATGAATTATTAATACGCAAAAACAGATCATTTAGAACTTCAACGGTGGGACATGTTTTTTTAATTACCAATAGAAATTGATGTTTAATTGCATTAAGTTTTCAACGAGTTAATCTGTGATTACATAAAAATTGTTTGGGCATTGCAGATTGTGTCGTATCTGTTAGCCACCGGTGCAGCTGCAGGATTTGGTGTTACAAACGATATGAAAACGCTCATTGAATTGTTGTCAACGTTTGGAAACTTCTATGAAAAAGCCTATGCCTCCGCCAGTCTCCTTTTTCTGGCATTTGTTTGCACTGCCGTATTATCCGTGCTCTCTTCTTATGCCCTTCCCAAGACTGTTTAGTTTCCACCCTCCAGAGATCTGAAAATTAAGAAGAAAATTTGACATACTCCTTATTATATATTAGTCTGTCAACAATATATATATATATATATACACACACACACGTGTGTGTGTTTATTTTCCTTTTCTTAATTTTTGTCAAAAAAGAAAAGCTTAAAAGTTTTTGGTTTTATGTGTACTCGTGTAAAGAAAGCTTGCGTACGTGTTCTTACTTCTTGATTTCGGCTTCGGTTTGTTTTTTGTTCATTTCTAAGGGAAGTTTGACTGGTAAATATTGCGGATTCTCTTCATGGATGTAAAATTTGCAATTCTATATACACTTCTCGGTTCAATTATTATGTTTTATTTATTTATTGAGTTTTTGCAGCGAAGGCTATTTTTTGGAAAAAAATAAAATAAAAAAGAGGAAAACAACGCTAAAGATTGTCTAATGTTCTTCTTATCCACTACTGCGCTTCCCAACACCCCCCCCCCCCCCCTCTCTTTTTCAGCTGAATATGGAAATTCAAACTCTCCACGGTATCCGACATCAATTTATCAATTTATCACTAAATTATACCTACAACAATTATTAATATAAGATTCTAACACTAAAATATAAAGAAAGGACATATATATATATATCACCTACTTTATAAGAACAAATTTTAAGGGCTCGTTTAGTTCATGCGTTAAATCAATAATTTTAATTTTGTCATTTAACATTTAAATTTTTTGTGAGAGAAAAACATTATAACAGAATCAAAGGCATAAATTTAAACGTATGAAACAAACGAACCCTAAATTTAATACACCGTTTTATTATTCTACAGGAGGATTAATGTGTTCTTTCGTCAGAAGCAGAGGTAAAATTAAAAAATGAGTACTAGAAGCTACACAATTTAAAGCAAATGGGTAGAGAAGTCGACGAACGAATGGTAACAATATGACTATTATATATAAGCGATGCGTTATACTTAATATTAAATCACCGCATTACGAACGATTATTTATTATCAATAGGAAAATAAAAAAAAACCCGCACCCAGTCTGCCTTCTCGTTAGAAAAATAAGCAAACACTGCCCTTTTAATTCCTGATTAAGAAGTTGAAGCTTAATTTGGTCATAAAAGAGAAGAGCAAAAATCTACAACACTACTAATATTGAGCAGAAGATCATCATGGGACGATCAAAATCTTCTCGGATTTCCAGTCTTTTCTTGAGAATTTTTTTGATTCTCTTATTAATATCCTTATTTCCTGTGATATTTGGTCCATTGGGCGGGAATCTCACGGTTGCATACATTGTTGCTGATGAAAACGATAGCGATGAAGGCACATTCGGATCTCATCCTTATTCATATCGTTATCATAATGTTTCATACTTCCCTTTTTGTTTCATGTGAGCAATATATATATATATATATATATATAACATATAAACTATTTATTAATTATTGTCAATATTAATTAGCTTGGTTATTTGATATAATGCAATCAACTTCTACATCACATAAGTATTGCTATGTCTTATTTTTATGACGTTCCACAATCCACACAATCTCAAGTATTATCCTTCATCAAATTGGATGCAAATGGGATAAAAATTAAACAAATATATTAGTTAACTTTTTATTTTTTGTCTTTCTATTTTCATGAGAAACGACAATGTATTATGACTTATAGTGGTTGATACTCCAAATTTTGGTAAAAGAAAAAAGTACTTCCAGTATCAATTGCACATTTTTCTTTTTACATATATATATATATATATATCACAAATATATATATATATATATTGCTATAAATAATGTATTAAAGTAAACTGTGCAGATACATGCTTACAACAATCGGTATTGGCGGTCTACTTATTATTTTGCAAATTCCATTCTCAATCTACCATGCCATATGCAAGGAATATGACGGTTGCCTTGTATTTGAATTTTACTGTGACAAGGTACGTATTTCAACTATTAGATCTTTATTAGAAATTTCGTCAATTGTATTTTCATGTTAATTTGCTATGTTTGGTACGTATTTTACTTGATTCAGCGCCCTTCAATATTTCACAACTTAATCTACTGCATCTTTTTTTCTTTTTCTTTTTTTTTGAATGACTCCTTTGATTATAGTTGTCTACAGCTTTCATTAGCACTTTTTTTTTTTTTTTGTTGTGATGAATGCTTTCATAATTAGCACTTGTTTCTGTGTGTGTGCAGGTGTGAGATCTAGGGAGGGGAGGGAGGGAGTTTAATTCGGGCTGGGTTAAAGAAAAGTAATAGCAGTGCTGCGCAATTCTAAACTATTTGATCTTTATTAGAAATTTCGTCAATTGTATTTACATGTTTACTATGTAAATTTGCTAATAAGAGGGAAAAGAAAAGTGGAAGGAAACAAAGATACATAGATCTACACAAGAAAAGTAGATAAAAGAAGAGAAATATTTTCTCTAACTGTGTTGGGTATAGATTTCCTATTCTAATTATTCCTATCAATATGAAGAAATTAAAATTGATGATATTTGGATAATTTGAAATCTATCACCCAATCCGTTCAGTCTTTAAGTTATCTCCTACCAAACATCCATATCTAATTCCAAAAACCTTACACTTTTTTCTATTCCTCATTTCACTTTTTTCTTCTGCCAAACAAACTTTTAATATGATTTGCATGTGATCTCAAATTCGGAATAAGCTTACGGTATACGTATTCAAATATTTTTTTTTCACACATAAAAAGCTTATTTTATTTAGAATATTGTGCTGGAATTAACTAACTACTACTACTTGGGTCAGATCACTAGGCACAAGTGTTGCTTGATGAGTGAATTTATGCTCACTAGTGCGCGAATCGTCTCTGTCATACCCAGAATTCTCACATACTCATTGGTCAATGCATTTCATGATATTTTAGCATCATGCATATGATACATGAACACTTAGTCATTTTATATGCAGTTATTTGTCATAATGGTATGCATTGTAATTTGAAGTGAATTATATGTTTAATATGTTCATTATATAGGCGAATGACTCGGGGTTACCCAAGAGAAGGATCCTGTAAGTTGGGAAATGGACAACAACTTGTTCTTAATGATATTTACAAGAATTTCTAAGTGAAAAGTAAAATATGGGGTCTTAATGGGGCTTTAAGGCAAGTTTAATGAAAATGTACATGTTGGTGTGATGTGTGGAAAGGTTTGGATTTGAGTTAATGTGCCAAAGAGACTACTTAAGGTGATTCTAAGGTTGAAATAAGGTTAAGAATGGGATGACAATAAGGGTTTAATAATTGTGTTACTTTAGAAGTCCTAAATTAAGCATATTTTGGCATTCGAGTTTGTGGAATCAAATTGAGATTTTATTAAGGTTCTAAAGGAATTATGGATCCTAATAATTAGGGTAAGAATGAAATAGAAAGTGATTATGTTAGATGTTTAAAATTGAATGAAAAGTATGGGAGATGTAAAGTTAGTAGGCCAATTGATTGGCTAAGACCTTGTTCATACTTTGGGAATTTGTGTGAGTGTTGTGTGCAAGAGAAGGTGGTGAGAGAGCTACTTAAGGTGATACTCTACTTAGAGGAGAGGAGAGTACTTCATGGTTAAGTAATTAAGGTGCCTACTTGTCTCTTTAAAGTATTAAGAAAGAAGGTAAGGAGTAATCAGCCCCAAAACCTTCTAGTCCAACCTTCCTCTGGTTCCAAACTGCTTCTCCAGCCATTTCTTAAGAAAACCAAAGCCATTCCAAGTGGTTTGATGAAGGATTTATCATAGGAACACCAAGAGATTGAAATTAGTGTAAGGGAAGATGAATTTTGTGATTCTAGTTTAGTTTTTCTCAAGGTTGGTGATGAATTCGTATTCTAATCCTTTGGGATTGTTTTAGGGTCTGTTCCAAGGGTTCATAAGAGATTTAAGAGCTAATCATTTGAATTGGAGGTGAAGAAAGTGAAGTTTACAAGTGAAAAGATTGATTTGGTACACAAAGGTGGGACTTCTTTAAGTTCCCTTGTTTTTTATGTAATTTCCTTTAAATTGCTGGTTATTTGGATGCTCTTTGGTAAGATTCAAATGTTCTTTAATGAATTGAATCATAATAAGTAGAAGTGGGAAGTGGGAATTAAGGCTTTTCCTTGGAAAGTTTGAGAAACACATGATGAGTGGTGATTTTAGGGTGAATTTGGAAGTTGTGTATATTTTTGGGTTTTTATTTTTATTTTATTTGCAGGTCATCTTTGGTTATTCTAAGGTTTGGGGAGTGTTAAAATGCAGGGGAAACTCTGGAAAAATATTTAAAAATGGTTTGGAGGGGTTTAAAGGCCATTTGGGCCGTTTTAGGGTGGTTGGGTGCACCATGTTGCATGTTATGGGCGCCTAGCATGCTGCAACATGGACTGTGAGTGCACCAGTGGGGCGCTGGCAGCCCTTGCGAGTGCAGCATGGGGCGCTGGCAACCCCGGTGTGTAACACCCTGAAGAATTAATTGGGATTAATTGAGATAATTAAGAATTATTAGTGTGCCTAATCTGATTTAATTAATTGGTTTTGATTAATAAATGTTTCTAACGTGTAATTTAAATAATTCTAAGGTATTTAAATATTTTCAGTAATTTTATTTTAACCCAGAAGTGTGTATAGGCGCATTTCTGGACTGTTTTTTTAAATGTTGGTACCTATCTATTTTGTTTTCTTTTTCTTTTCTTCCTTTTCTTTCTTTTTCTCTTTTCCTTCCGTGTCTCTCTCTCTCAGACCATTCCCTCTCTCTCTTCATTCTCTCACTCACTCTCTCAATTCTCTCTCCCGTCTGTTTCAAAATCAACCGGATTTCGAACCAAAGGAAAGTGTCAAAGAGTTTTCAACGTCAAGAGAAGGATTCGAGGTAAGATTTCTGGAAAAACCTCTCTTGAAAAGCTAGATTTCGGATTCTAAAACTTATTTTTGGTTCAAAAAAATTTTGATGGATTTTGAGTAAAACTAGGGTAGAAATTGGGGATCTTGGGTTCTTTGGACTTATTTTAGTGCCTGGAACCCAGATTTAGGTGGTGTCCCTTGAGAT